TAATCGCTTTACTTAATACTACAAATAATCTAAAGTCATTTGAAATCAATAGAAATCAGCGAAGTCAAGAAATCCTGAAATCAGTCTGTTCCCCTTGATATATATATATATATATATAGAAATGTTTTGGGTCAATTAGAGACATCTATTGACACTAACAGGTCAACATCTGGATCATGCCATGCTAGACTCATTCATCCCTCACCCTCACACCTCTACAATGTTGCCTAGTGTATGGTGGCATTAATGGTTTATAAATCATATCCATATGAATAAACAATCTTTGCAGTATATGTCATATAGTATTTTATTGTTGATCAAGGTGGTTTATGGTAATAATTCATATAAATTGTACTAAACGTGAACAGAACTGCAACACAATTCTTATTTTTCTATATGACGCTCATTCTGAGTTTCTAACTGTTCTCGGATGTGTTGTATGTGAAGTTTATTCTGAGTTTCCAACTGTTCTTGTATTTGTTGTATGTGAAGTTTCTTTTGAGTTTCTAAATTTTTTTGGAATTGTTCCATTTGATGTTTATTCTGGAATTCTAACTGTTTTTGAATTTCTAGCATTCGTTCAGTCAACCTTCGCACCTCATCATCGTATCGTCGCTTGTTCTCTTTCATCAACACAATGCGCGCTTGATCAGATTCACGTTTAACCAAATCATGAGCAACTTCCATTGATGTTTGATATCGTGTAGCGTTCTCTTGAATTTCTTCCCGGAGAATTGCAATACTATATTCAATATTAATTCGAGATTTCTCGAGCTTTGCCTGAACATAACTCGAATCAACAAATGAATTTTGTTCACGAAGTACTTTCGCCACTTGAAAAGCTGTTTCTGACATCTTAACCGACGGAACACCATTGTTTATCCCTTGTGAACTCTCTATCATGTGTCTTATTTTCTCGACTTTTGTCAGAATATCCCCATCGGCCTTACGATGTGTAGAAATTAACTGTCTTCCTTTGATAATAGACTCGCATATTTTTCTATCGGCTGTAAATGGTGTTAAGTAAACATAACCAAATAGTGTCAAATCTGGATAGTTGTCTTTTTGTAAGTCATTTGATGACACTGGATATTGATAAACGATACCCTCGTTTGATATTACGCAGACATATCCAATTAAATGCTGTAGTTTCACTTGGTATTGTCTTCCTTTAGAATTTGTTATTCGCAGCGGTATTAATTGTCGACCAGCTGCAGCTCCAATAATATCAGTCAGGGCTGCTATTTTCCCTTGTTCCATAGGATTGTGCTTGGCGGCATAATGCCATAGTTGTTCTGATAATGGAATATCTGAGACAATTCCACTGGCTTTAGCTGTTTTAAGTGCATCAATAAGCCATGCAGTCACATATTCAGCTACAATTATAATGGCTTTTTCTTCCTTGCTTTCTGGACGAACATCAATCAAAACTTCTTTGATCCAATGAACTTTGTCGTTAAACACGTTACTGCCTTCTATTTTCTGTGATGTCTTGATACGTTCAATTTGCTCCTTGTAATAAAGTGTCAGAAGGGCGGCTGTATCAGACGCAGCACGCTGAAGCTCTTCGAAATTACCCAAAGTTGAAATATTGTAAAATTCCCTTTTTTGTTCTCTTTCATTGAGTTTGGCTACAATCGAATCAGTTACAGCTTTGATAGGCTTCAACAGGTCACCAGCAGGTACTGTGTACAAGATATATGTCATAAATATTAGTGGATGTCTCGTAAAGTATAAACCACATCCGATTTTATCAAGAGCTTTAGCTCTTTTTGAAATTGTTACGCATCGCAAGTTTTAGATAAATTCGCGATTCAATCAACAGCAGAATATACTTTTCCAGTATCTGACGTCCGAAAGCATCCTTAACCTATTTGTGAGACTTTATGACTTTATATTTGCTGGTAATAAAAAATTAAGAATTTGCCCTTCGAAAGCTATGAAGTGTGATATCCTACAACAACTAGATCCTGGACAGATCAGCTGGTATCATCAAAAACACTTTCAAAAGTTCAGTTCAGATCCACAGAACTTCTCAACAGCTAATAAAAAACTGAGCTGAATTCATAAGCAGATCAATTCTATGGTGGACTTTATCAGTCTCATTAAATTGGTTATTAAAATATTGCAAACTTCGATTTTTCGAAGTCCATCATTTGAGCTGATCTAATGAAACAGTTCAGTTTAAAAGAGCTTCTAAAAAAATTGTCTAGATCTGAACTGAAATTTTCGAACAGATCCACTATGTTTTTGAAACAC